ACCTCTGAACCCTATGATACGTATTTCATAATAACTGGTTGGTCTACTTTGACAAATTATTAAATTGTTAGGATGCTGTTTACAGCACAGTCCAGTTTTAGAAAGCAGTCAGCTGTTTGGCGTTGTGTTTGGGTAGAACAGTACCAGACAAGAAGGGCAGATTGCTTTGTAAGCTGTAAAATGTCAGTCAGTAAATACTCAAAGGTCTGCTTTAATTGAAGAAAGAGTAAATATTATGGCAATTTCTGTCCATGCATTGGATAAGCATAAGCAGGCAACGAACTGTAGCAGCGAGCAAGGCACTATAATAACAATCTGTGGTTTGCTTACTCTGATATATAAGGTTCAGATGCATCCCGTATTATTGGGTAGATGAGACTTTGATATGTAGTGGTGTGCTGCTTGCTTAATAAGCAGACTATCTGGCTAACATTTCTTCTTATTGTTTGGATATGCATTTCTTCTTTATTACTATAAAACCCAGATTCTTCTTGTGCTATAGCAAACAAATTTGGTTTGTGTAAAAAGGGAATGGATTGTAGTTCTGTGTGAGTGTAGTCTATAATTGTATGTTTTGTAATAACTGTATAGAAAACTTTTTTCCACTGTCTGAGGTGGCAAGCAAAGATGTAAATATGTGACATGTGGAGAGCTTGTGTCACTGCCTACAAGGCTGCAGGACTTGCTTTCCAAGGTGTTAATTCTGTAGCTCTTTGTTAATACACAACAGCTGAAATCTAGCAGTTGAGTTGTTAAAACTACAGCCTAAGAAAAGTCCTATGGGATTTGTTTGTATTAAACATTTCAAAATTTCCATCTTCTCTGCCCCTGAACTACAGCAGCAGCTTCTGTTTCATATCTCGCCATTGCCATTGCTTACCTCCCCAATGCTGCTTTGTCTGCCACTGTCTCCTTGCTCAACTTCCCCTGACTGCACCTGCTGCCCTCCCTTCCATCCACACCCAAGCTGTCCATCCTTGGATAGCAGTGATAGGTGATGATATTTTGAAAACTCGTCCTCAGTTGAAAACTCTGCATTGTTTGAGCTCATCCAGTCCATCACTGTTCCAAACAGAAGTGATGATTTTTGTTGTTGCTATATATTTTTCTAGGCATGTATGATTAAACAGTAAGTCTTCATGTGGCATGCTGTTCTGTGTTACTTTTGGATATCTTGTTTATCATGGCTGCACCTATAAATGTTGTTTTTATGCTGAGAATCACAAATATCTATAGTGATCATTTTTAACCATGGCAGAAGCATTTTAGGATTTTGTGATCTCGCCTGACTGAGGGGAGAGTTGGTGACACAGGTACCAAAAATCAGAACAAATGCCACAGGAAGGCACATCTTCATGCTCAGTCAGATAAAGAACAGCAGAAGGAAAATACAGGGAGTTTTTTTTCCAAATTTTTGTTTTGTGAAACAAAGGTAATCCTAGTCCAGCAGTGCTGCAATAGGGGAGGGTGGCTCATCAATTACAGATTCAAGTCTCAGCCTTTTTCTTTTGTGAAACTCCTCCAGGTTCAGAGAAGGTGCTATTTTGAAGCAAAATAATGATGCTGTGGCATGGTGCTTCAGTAAAAGCGTGTTTCCTTTGAAACTTCTCACTGTATGAGGAAACACATCTTTTATTTCAGAGGTTTGGTAGTGGGATGAAATTGAGTTGAATTACTTCACCATATTGATACTACTAAAGCTTCAGTCATTGGCCTCTTTGTTCAGAGGACTGGTAATTCCTGGCATAGTTTAAAGACTGGGATTACAAGTAATTAGTGATAATACTAATTGCATGAGAGGCTTCATTAAATCCGAGCACTAGTCTATGCTCTTTAGCGGATGCACTTTAAAATAGTTTTGAGTTGGTTTTGGAGGAGGTTAATCTTCTGGTAGTGAAAGACAGAAAGATGTATTCACTAATCCAAGAGTTACACCTACTTGTTGTTCAAACCAAAAAGTATCCTGTAACATCCTCTTGTCTCATGTACTTCAGTAGGTCATTTTTCTTAATGATGCAGTAGACAAGCGTAAGCAGTTAAGACTCACAAAATAATTAGTAGCAAATTATCAGAACTGTCAGCAGATTGCACTCTGACTGTTAAAGTCAAAGCTGATTTTATATTAGCTGTACTATCATGTTGCGGTACATGGAAGAAATGCTGAAAGTGTGTCCTAAGAACTACTGTATTATAACAAAAGATTAGGAAGATTTACCAGAGCAAATCAAAAAGGGGGAAAATATAGTATTGCAGAGAATACAAGAAAGTGGGTTTTGTGTCTGCTGTTGAAATATAAGTACTGTGAACGCTGACTGCCAAAATACGGGATTTATAGGAAATAAAGCCCTAAAATATTTTTCCCCTACCAAAAAGAGTGGGAGGTAGTAGGAGGAACCTCTCCAGAAACTGTCCATTTTTGTTATGTGTCTAGCTTTTCTGGAAGTTTTAAATGGCTTTCTGGTGCAATAAACATTTCAATGTGAAGACAGAAAGAAAGACTAAGAAATAAATTAGACTGTTTTTTTTAAGAGGAATGCATTCAGTGGATAGCAGTTCCAAAATATATAGCAAAGCTCTGGGTTGTTTCCAGGTGTCAGTGCTGTTGTAAGAAATAATAAATCACATTGTGTATATCAATAAAAAGCAGATAGATTAGTAAAGGATATTTAGCTTTTTCTTTTTTTGGTGAAGTAACAGTGTTGCATGTGCTTTGGCTTCGGTGTTGAACCTATTGGCTTGCTGATAATGAAACAGGCAGTTCTGGATGCTGAAGTGGTTCAGATTCACTTTCCATCTTTATTACAGGCAATATCAGATGATTGTCTTCTACTGCCTCGGTCTGAGTATTTAATTAAGCATGTGCTCAACTCGGAAGTTGAGCATAGACAAGCAGAATGTTTTTATTTTCTTTTCACCAGTTCTTTTTCAGGTTATATATTTTCTTTGCATTTTTCTCACTCAGAGTCATGAAAAAGCATCATGTTCACAAACCATGAATGGTAACAAAATAGCTGCAAGTGTGGTTCCAAACTCAGTGTGGATGTCATGTGTAATGAATAAACTTAAGTCATGATTCATAGAATCATAGAATCGCCTAAGCTGGAGGGGACATTAGAGATCATTTTAATCCAGCCTCCCTGCTGCCAGGGACGCCACCTCTTGCCTAGATCAGGCAACACAGGGGGACCGAATGGGAATCGAACCCACGACGTTAGTGTTGTTAGCGCCACGCTCAACTGACTGAGCTAATTCAGTCACAAGCAGAAAAGATTTGAAGTTAATATAATTGGCATCAGCCAGTTTAAGCCTTTCACATCATGTGCATCAATTTTTGCAGCTTTGCCCAGTAAGTCCAGACAAAAATACTATGTATTTTGCTGCTATTTTTTTTACTGGATAATATTGAAAGAAGCATTCAAGCAACAGTTCTTTGTTCATTAAGCCCCTCCTTAGGAGTTTGTGAACTAGGGAAAAAGTAATTTTCAAGTCTGGATCAGTACAGCACTTATTTCTAAGCAACATGCTCAGCTTCGAATTGGATCTAATTAGTTTGGGCTGAAGGCTACTCCTGTATTTCACATCCTGCTAATGGAAATTCTTCGGTATAACACTGCCTTATGGCCACAGATAGTACCTCCACTTTCAGTGTCTTGCCTCCGTTGCAGTAAAGTAGCATATTCCGTAAGTTTTACAGAGCAGCCTTTTTGTAGGTGGAAAAAACCAAACTGCACTGTCTGAAAGGTGGGCCTTTGTGAAGGACAGAGAGTCGTTTTGGGTGGGGTTAAAGTGACAAGACACACTGGAGAGGGAAGTTTGATGTCTGAAAGTGCACTTCCTGCAAAAGTTCCGGATAGACTAGCCTATAAACTTTTGGAGAAAATACTTGTATTCTGGTGCCATCGTGTGGCTTGAGGGAAGAGAGGCAGTCTGCCGTTATTTTGTTAAAAGATGTTATTTTAAACGAGTGTCTTATTATTTGATGTATTTAAACAAATACGGACAGTAAGAAACCATGTATAGCAAAGCATGTACAGCTGGATCTTAGGAAATATTAGCAACATATGTACTAGATTTAGCTTTTAGCCTGGTAAAAGTCCTTGTAGGTAGCAATTTTATACCTCTTAATAGATGTTATACACTTACATGAGCTTGGGTTCAGGTTGTGTGTCTGTATGTGGGTGTATTCATGCAATATGATCTTTGTAGATGCTTCAACTTCTTACTTAGGTATCCCTCCAAACACTGCACATTGCTTAAAATGATGCTGTGTTATAATCCTATTAAATAACTTCTTGAAACCATACAGAAACTAGTCAAAGAGCTGGACTGTCAAGCAAACTCTCCACATGTAGCTGTGTTGGGTTTTTTTTGCTGCTGCAAAGCATTCCATAACATCTCCTATGCACTTAAATATTCTAGAATATTTTCTTTATTTGGATTTCCAGTCACACAAGTTTTACAGTCAGCAGAGCTTGTGGCACAGTGCATTTTGCATGTGTGGGACCAACACAGCATCTCTGTGGAAGACGGTGGAATTCCCACATGGGGCCAAGCAAAAGGCCACAGGTTTGGGGGTCTTGGATAGTGTTTTTTGTCTACCTGTATTTTGGAGGGAAAAGGGAGACTATTACGAGATCCGCAGATATGTGTGAGGTAGTCTAGTTTCTTTACCAGCTTTCTGAGATGTCACTAGTGCTGTAGGCTTCAGTTCTCAAATGCCTTCATTTCTTTATTATAATTAGCATTCTTTGGAGAAACTTGATGGAAGGCTTCCTTAATATTATTATTAAAGTAACTTGAATTCTGTAGTATACAAGATTCTCAGTTTATATATACTATATGAAAATGTTCAGTTGTATTTGCTTTTGTTTTGTAATGGGTGTGTATTTTTTGTTACCCTTGAATCCAAGCAGAGTAGGGGATGATTAAGGAAAAATTGCCTCCTGTATTTAGATAAAGCACTGTGTCGCAGAAATATTTCTTGTTGAACTTCTTCTTAGTTGCTGTTGTATGAGAGAGGCTGGATGAATAGATGGAAGCCTTCGGTTTTACATGAAGGAGAAGGAAATATAAGAAATGTAAAATGGAGAGGACACTTAATTGCTTGGGCCAATAACATGGTAAGTTTTTGTCACCACTGTTCAATAAACAAAAATACTGCTGCATTACACTGATATTTGAAATGTTTCAATGCTGAGTGCTAAAATATTCCATTGAAAAATGGTACATTTGAAGAATCAAGTATAAAAGGCACTGAAGGGTAGTGGTTTAGATCCCATTTCTTTTGACGTTTCCTGCTGGCTAGTCAGTGTTCTCTATATGGTTGCCACTTCCGAAGAAGTTAAGAAAAGTAGCTCTGCATAGTACTGTTCTGGATGGCCACTACTATACTGTACAGCAGAGTTTTGACCAGTGCAATTTATTGAAGCAAACCGCCTGAGGAAGGAATGCCAATGTGAAATCCTACCTTATGTAAACAATAGAACATCACCACTACCCAAAAATCCCCAAACATACCTGGATTTTGTAATATGGACTTTTAATCTTGCAGATTATAAAAAACATTAGTAAAAATTTCTCATTTTGGTAGGTCACTAGTAAAGGCTAGGCTTAGGCCCTTTTTCCCCTAAGTGTAATACATATTTTCAAGGGAACCATATCTTTCATGCTGAGTATTACATTTCACCTATCACTGTATATCTAATTGATGGGTCAGGATCTGTGTTTTAAAGCTCAGCAGCAAGGGGTATGTTTCTAAGGGTGCATCATGTCTAAATTCCAAAGTCCTATTTCAAAATGTGATGAAAGTACTTCTGAAACACTACTTTTCCCTTTATTGTTTTTCTCTCCTGAAGGGAAGCATGTATTAAAATATTTTAAAGCCATCATTCTTCTATTCTTTTCAAAACCAGTATCACATGAAATTGTTAGAGGTGACTTTTGTTTATTTACTTCCCTGCAAGAACTGCATTAGAATTGAAATGTCTATGAATGCTTGATGAACATAACATGAGCTTTTTTGAAGGTTTTGTTCTTCTCAGAGCCATACCATTAAAATATATATTTTAGGTGAATCTGCTGTGAATGGATAGGACAACTGAGGAGAGCTATCCCTAGAGATGATCTGCCACATCAGAACACAGAATACTAATAAAATGTTGAGAGCCATCTGTCAGAGGCAAAAAGCCATGGTCAGGGCCTATCTTTCAATGAAAAATGAAATGACACTTGCCCTCCAAAAAATTAATTTATTTGGCCTTTCCCTTCCCCCTTTACCTTTCTAAAAATTTCTCCATCCTCTAGCAAGGTTTTATGTTCCTTTTTTTTTTTCCTGTCAAACTCAGATAGCTTCTTGCTATCTGTGCATGGCTACCTAGTTTTTATTTTCTTACTTTTTTGGGGGGGGTGAGTTGACACACTACTTGTGAACTTCCTAGACATTGAATGTTCTGAGGTTATTTAGGCTTGTCAGATGCTCAGGTAGCCCACATTTGCTACTGTGCCCTCTTCTCCTTCCTCTGTGGTCAAGAGTGTAACTTTTACAAACTGAGACACCTGAGAACCTAATCCTTAGAGGTATTTGGCTACCAGACTCCCATATGAACAGGTTTTAAGCTCCTTCTTGATAGAAAGTTGATTCTGAAACTCCTTTCAGTTGATAATAGAAATGGCATACTTTAAGTGTAGCAGATCCTACACTATTGGTTTGAAAAGCACTGAAACATAAGCTAGTCTATCCGCTGTAGAATTTACTACCTTGTAGAAAAACAGAAGGTCACTTTTACCCTTGAAGACCCTGCTAAGATTAATAAAAGGCAACTTTATTAAAATGCAGTTCAAGCAAGATTGCAAAGTTTATCTGATGAGCTTAAAAAACACAAAACATGAACTCCTTGTTTATGTTACACAGAGATCTCATCATTCTGTATTGCAGGTGCTATGTGCAAGCTTTTTTCTGAAACCTTGATGGCTGTTAACTGGAGAGCTGCCAAGAGGAGTGTGTTCCATGCTCACACTTCCAGTGACAAAGATCACTGGGGGTATAAAAAAAAAAGCCCATCCCCATACCAATTACTGCTCCCTGTGATTTTAAAAGACAAAACAAAACCAAACCACAACAAAACAAAATGAAAAAAGCAGGAAAAACCTGACTTAGACTATGACCCTCATGTTCAGACTCTTTGACTTAAAATTGCAGCTGTACAGCTGGGGACATAGAAACTCGCATTGGGGGTGAACAGAAACAGGCAGAGGAATCTTTTACATCAGTTTTGTCCCTAGAAAAATCCTAACGTGGAATGGCGTCCTGGATGCTGACCTTTCAAGGTCCCTTACATTCCCTTTTCTGTGATCATGAGAGCTGTTCATTAAGCTCAGGGAGCAGAAAGAAATATCTACTAAGATACAGTTTTATTTTAGGGACTTTTTTTTAAAATCATTAAGAACAAGTTATTACTTAACATGAAATTAATCTCCATTTTGCTGTTGGAAAGGTTATATAGCTCACCTTGTCTAAATGGCATGAAAAACAGATTAATGGTTTGTTGGGGTTTTTTTTGTTTTGTGGGGTTTTTCCCCTCTAAAATTACTTTAATCCTTCTTTCTTTAAACTTTTTGTTCCATTAGTCTAGGAGATTCCCTGAAGAGGCAATGCAAAATTCACAGCATATTAGACAAAGCATCATTTACATATACTTTCTTTTCTGTTTTCATGTAAGAGTAGAAGTGTGTTTCTGGAGAAGTACAGATTGGCTTCGTTTATCTTAACGAGCCATTGCTTCACATCTTTTTCCAAGTTGGAAATTTCTGCTTCTCTACAGAGGCTTTTGTGGAAGAGCTGGAATTTTTTCCACTTCTCCAGTAGTAGCACCAGCCCAGCAAGCTGAAATACTTCATAGAATCATAGAATGTGTTTGTTTGGAAGGGACCTTTAAAGGTTATCTAGTGCAACCCCCTGCAGTATGCACGAACATCCTTAACTAAATCAAGTTGCTCGGACTCCCATCAAGCCTAGCCTTGAATGTCTCCAGGGATGGGGCCTCCACCACTTCTCTGTGCACAGTGTTCCAGTGTCTCACCGCTCTCATAATGAAGAAGTTCCTCCTGAGATCTAATCTCAATCTACTGTTCTCCAGTTTAAAACCATTGCCCCTTGTCCTATTGCTACTCTGTCACTCATTCTTTTATTATGTCTTTTCATTTGGCATGTGAATTTAAAATATGTAATTTACTCTAATCCATTTGTTCCTTCTGTCAACTCCTAGATTAGATGAGTTTTTCTATTGACAGCTTTTTCTATTGGCATGCTCATCCCTACTCTGAAATTTCTGCCATAAACTGCTACGACTGCCTTAGTACACAAATTAGTATGGGATGTGGTGAGTAGGAGTTTGTCATACTGAATAAAGTTCTCTTCTACTTAAACTTTAAGGGCGTGAAGATACTTGATATGATCTCCAAGCAAAGAATTACCAATGTACCTCGAGATGACATAAACCTTCGTCCGGATATGTATCCCTGCAGCCTTTGCTGGAAGGATAATTTAACGCTGATTATTGGCTGGGGAAATTCAGTAAAGGTGCAATTACCTGTCTTTATAATAAATGCTTGCTGTTACCACGGACAAACAGAGGATTATTTCTGAAAAGCAAAGACAACTGAAGAAAAATAAATTTGGGTTGACTACAGCATGCAGAACTCCTGCTGCCATAGAAATGTCATTGGGCTGACCCTCATGAGGAGGAGGAGTGATAGACACCCAACGGTCAGACAGATCTGTGTGTGTGAGCATGCAGCAAATGTAATCCTCAGGGACACTTCTCTGTGCCTTGAAGAGATTTCCTTTTTTGAAAGCTTTTAGAAGGCTGTTGAATTCATTTGTTTTGATTAGCATTAAGGAAGAACAACTTACCATGAGGTATTTTTGGAGGGGATTGTTCGGGAGGCTGAAGAGGTTGTGACTGCTAAAACAGCCACACAATTTTGGTCAAGCATGAAAGGAAAAAGAAGGGATTGGGGGGACAGGCTGCTTTGGATTTTGTTCTGCTTTCAGCAGGGAACCACTGTTTTGAACTTGTGCACTGCAGACTGACTAAGATTAGCTCAGACCAGCACCTGACATGACTTTGTTACAAGCCTGTTAGCTGTTTACAAATAGCAGAGTACTACATCACTCCACAGTGGGAAATTAAAAGTGCGTGGTAGGATAGAGGGAAAGGGAGGGTAAAGTGAGGTAGGCGAAGCGTAAAAATCTTTTGGAGCATTAAAGTTAGGGTTTTGCAAGGGAGGAGGTTTGTCTGAAGCTTGGCATCTGTCTTCCCGCTTGCCTTGTGAATGGTTCACAACTTTTGGGTATTTGTATTTCTTTATGTATACATTCTCTCCTTCTGTTAGTGCGACTTGCAGTAGCATATTCTTACTGAATTGTACAGTAATGAGGTGCAATGTATGAGAAGATACCTAAACCAAGCTCACATATGTGCTACTATGAAGAGATCATAGTGGGAAGATGTTTTCAGATGTCTCTTGTATAGTCTAGCTTCTCTCAGCATATTTATAAGGCTGTGGACTACAGCTACAACTTTCCTGTCTGGTTTTCCTTTTCAGTCATGCATCATCACTGTTTTACAGTTTGTGTTTTTCAAAATACAGAAATGCATGTCTGAGAATGCTTCAATAAGAAATGGAGTTTCTGGGGAAACTTAGTATCATTTTAGGAATTACAGTTTATTCATCATAATGATCCAAATCTCTGTTTCCTAGATTTGCTCAGTAAAAGAACGGCATGCCAGTGAAATGCGTGACCTTCCAAACCGCTATGTGGAAATAGGTATGATTATACAAATACACTCTTTTTCAAAATTATGTAAGCTTTAAAGGTCTTTTTTTCATATTCTAGTTGAAAAAGCTGTTACGAGTTCAGAGGCAATGTGTAGCTGTAATACAAATGTCTCCTCATTTTTAGTTGATGACGTTATCAGAATGTCCTCTTGCATCGTTTTGAGGGGTATTTTATGATATTTTTTATTATTTCTGTTATTATATTTATTATATAGTCTTAAATTCTGTGATCATCTAAAATCAGAGATCCTTGTGTGAGCGGAGGATGTCTTAACTTGGGCTTCAAGCAGATTCCTAGAGAGAGCTAGTTTTTCCGTCTTGGTTACATGGTTAGTGTAGTAGTGAGAAGAAAATAGAGTTTGATTGTGTTGTTTGACTACACTGCTCGTAACTTCTTTTTCTTTTTTTTAAAACATCTCTTTGATTTAGTGCTAGAAAATTTCTTTTTGTTGCCTTCTTGGCTTCTGTGTTTTTTGTTCTCCTTTGCTTTCTTATTTCTCTAGCTTAAGCGATGTGAATGAATTTAATTACTTCTGATTAATGAAAGAGGTCTTGACAAAACGTGTGTATTAAGAAAGCGTAAAGTAAAATTCAAAGGAAATTTAGAGGGGAAGAAAAGGAAAAGTCACAACTGTCTCCAGAAGCTTCTTCTGGGAAAAGGAAGTATCTATGAAGAAGTAGTGCTGGGAAGATAAACAGTCCTTCTGGGGATCTGCAGACTGGAGTAGGCAACATTTTGTAAACTTTGATGCTTCCTTGTCTTGACTCTAATGACGTGAGGTTGTAGGGAAGAGTGTTCAAGCAAGATCCTGACATCTCAGATTAGAATAGTGCATGGCAGTGATATATAAGCTGCTTTCAGATTTCACGGAAATACTGTTTTAAAATAGCTTCTGAAAAACAGCTAGGAGACTTGTTAAACTCTGTAGGAACTATGGATACCAAGAGACAGTAGCCTGCCTAATAGTTAACTGAGACCTGAAAGCTGATTGTTTTTTAAAATTACGTAGTCTCAATAGAATAATTAAAGGTGGAATTCTGGGATATTTGTGAGAATTTTGTCAAGCAGAAGCTCAGTCTTGAGTTTTAGTATCAGATCTTTCATATAATCTAGCTTTCAGAAAATAAATGGAGTTGTTTACATAGTGACAGATGAGTAGAGGCAACTTCTACTTCAGCTGTAATGTGACTACATGGAGGGAGCTAGTCTTACATAACTGTCTACTGGAATTTCATTTAGAAAAAGGGAAAAAAAAAAAAGCTGTCATCAGACTATTTAGGTACAGACCCGAAGGTTAGGGAATTTTTTGAAAGTAACTTTTTCATCTTATGATATTTAGCCAAAAATCTTCTCTGTGTTCTTGAGGGCTGATGTTTCTTCTCACTTAACCTATTAACAACGTGCTAGAGATTTTTCTTTCTGGTTTCAGGTCAAAGCACTGAAAATAGATCTGCCAAATGCTGTCAGCAGCACTCATTGGAATGTGGGTATTAGACTGGGAGGAAAAAGAGAGACATTAGTTCAAATCTCAGTGTAAATTACAGTAGCTTTTTATGTAGTTGCATAAAAGGTCTGCTTGAGAGCCATGTGTCATGCCATAGTAACTATTTCAATTTTATTTCAGCTTTACTTTTCAAAGGCACAGCTGAAAGATCTGATATTATTGATGGCCAGACCAGCAACTAGTATAGTTTCTTGCAAGACCATTAATATTCTAAGTGGGTGCATAAGAGATGCATTTTCATAATGTAAGGAATTTGTAGAAGGAAAGAACATCCTTCAATGGCAGGATAGCTGAATATTGATCAGATGTTTTCACACATAACAGCTTGGCAATACACTTATGAAAAATGAAACCCATAACACAGTATAACTTTTATCTTGTTTAGTTTTGTCTTGTTTTAACCTCCGACTTAACTAATATAGCTGGCTTTTTAAAGATAATACTGTGATTACCTGTGAGAGAAATTAAGTTAGTTGTATAGGTCTCGTGCATGTGAGATGAGATCTGTGTGGCTTTGCTAATTTTATTTGCATTTTTCAGTGTATTAATGGTGTTTTTCTGCAGTAATCTTTTCCATTATCCCTGGTTACATGTTACAGTTCATTGCCTCCTTAGGTCTTCATTCAATGTCGAAGATAAACTCCCGTGAAATGTTTCTATTTAGGTTTAAATGTGTGTTAGCTGGGCAGATCCTATCAGTTTAGCTCTGTCAGTTACCGCTATGAAGTAGTGTATTGATTAGAAAGTATTGGTATTGAATTACAGGCTTAACATGGACTAAATACCATTGTGTTCCTTCTTAAAGAGTGCTTGACCCTTGTGCTCCCTCCCAGTGTATGTACAAAAGCTGTAATGATGGACAAGTTCTGGTCTGAACAGGGAACCGTTCCTCAACTGGAGCCCATGAGAAGGCTCGTTGGTAAAGAACAAATTAGCACTTTGCAGTTAATACAATGCAGTTAATACAATGAAATGGGTTATCTAGTCTTCAATGGCCTGTCAGGTAGCTTGGGATTTTTTTATACTTTTATGGAGAAGTACTCTGGAGAAGTACTTATGGAGAAGAACTCTGCTTCAGTTGCTCAGGATGTTAATGATAGTGGAAAACAGAGATTAAAACTGAAAGTCAATAAAAGACTTGAAGTCAATCAGAGACTTCTTATTTGATTTATTTTAGCCCAAATTTTATCTGAGGAATCTTTCTTGATTCCAGGCCAGCCAGCCAGCCAGCAATGCCTCATGAGCACTTGTCTCCCCCCAAATTCCCTACAAAGTAGAATCCTAGATTAAAAATTACATGTTTTATAGGTGTGGTGTAACAGCATATCTGTATGTTTTATGAGGGTATAGCTGTATAACTGCATGGCAAGTTACTGCCAAGCATTGAGATTACACATTTTTATCTGAAGAGAAAACATGGCAATATTATTTTTTTTTTGGTTTATAAAGTGAGATACAGGGACCTACTACCATAACAGCATTTTTCTCTTTATATAGACAGATCTTGAAGCTTAATTAAGGAATGTGATGAGCAGAAAATTAACTGTGAGTATGCTCATATGTGCAAATGTCTCATCAGAGCAAGTCTGCGATACTGTGAAGTAAATTGGGAAAAAAAATAACCCAAACCAACCCATTTGTGTAGCTGATTCCACTTAGATAGTTTATTAATTTTCTTGGTACAATTAGTCAGGACTATCAGACTCATGAATATTTTCCCTGGTGGTTAATGAAGTTTTCTCTGTTCAGCATGTGATGGAAAAAGTTTTTCAGAAAATGAACTTTGAAGCTTTGAAACTTAAGCACCTGACTTTCCAGTTGTCATCAAGGATGCTACAGGATTTCCTTAAAGGTTGTATCTGTCTGTAGCTAGTGAGTTGTACAGGATGTTGCCATATTTCTAAAGATGGCTTTTATTGCTGTGTGAAATGGACTGGTGGTAGGATGATTTCAGCATCGTGGTAGCACTTCAATTGCACACAACCTGACTGCAAGTAAAACAAATTATAACACTGTTTACAATAGACAAAACATTTTTTCTAATTTAAATGAAAGAGCAGACCTCGCCAGATAGGTGATTACTGGCATTAGGTAATGGACTTTTTTCTTCATGTTTCTGATCAGTGTGGTGCTATAACTGAGAAACATTACTTTGTTTTAATAGCAAAATTCTTGCTTGTTTCCATTCTGTGCTGGTAGCAAGTAGTAAGGCAACAGCTTTCAGGGAATAAGGCTATACAAAGTTTCCATTTTAAGCCTAGATAGGTAGTTTTTTTATTCAGTGATAAATTTCAATTAACAATATTTTCAATGTGCTGCTTCATTTTAATGAAAATGCTCATCCTCTTTGCCATGTGGCATTGGAAGTTAAAAATAGAAAGATTGATTAATGGCTGCTAAGTTTTCTCTAAAGCTTTTTTTGAACCTTCAATGTTCAAATGAAAGTAAATTTGAATATGACTTTTCTAACTATTTTCATTACAAATAAATAGTAGAGGATGTGAATTCCAAGTCTGGAAGCATGGGGTTTTGCATTGGTGTATAGGACGCACCATCAATTTTAGCCTTATCCTACACTACTCTTCCTAGTAAAATTCAGGAAGAATGATACTCTGTTAAAATTTCATCACCATATGTATATGATTAAGTAAACAGTTGCTTGATTTCACATATTGTAGTATGGATAGAAAGTTTGCAGGTAGTTCTAAGGATATTCAAGCCCAAAGAAAGGACCTTCATGCAAATTACTTCACTGCTCCTCCCCAGAGTTTGCAGTTCCTTTTGAGTCACAGTTGACATTTCTTCAAATGAGCACATCCTGAGCTTCCTGCTCATGCTTCTAGTCAGAGGTCAGTGTGCCCTGGAAATCTGAAGGCTGTTGCAGAGACTTATGTGACACAGAAACTATTTATAAGGAAATACTTCAATGCTGGGGCAGGTATTCGTATATGAAGTTTTTCAGAGAAAAGTAAGAATGTTCAAACATGAGATTTGTATTTTTTTCAAGGATTATTTTGGATAATATACCTAAAAGTAAGAATGTTCTTTTAGTTCAATAAAAATATATGTTTTGTGATTTGCTTCTATCCTCCTAAAGACAGATTAAATGATACTTATACAGGACCTTTGCTGGTCCTGAAGCTGCAACTGAATGCACATACTGTAGAAAAAAGAAGAAAAAGTCTTTTTGTATCAAATGCAACTGCATGTACATGATCATAGCTAATCAAAACATGCCATTTTGTATTCAATTTTGTTTTGCATGAGTAAAACCACTGATGGTGAAGATACCATCTTTAAAAACACTTATGGATATGCTGCACTGTGGCCTATAGCAATGACGGCAAATTTTACAGTGTCACAGTTTAGAAGACAGAGGAAACCAAAGCCTCTCTTGAGATAGGGAAAGTAAAACCCCCCACCTCCGAATTGCTATACCTTTGAAATTATGGGGCTTTCAGGCAAAAGATATGGGGATAGGAATACCAGTTCTTTACTAAGAATAGTGCAACTACAAAGGTAATGGTACAGAGAAAAGAACAACAACGAACAAATAATCCCAGAAACTCTGACAGAGTCAGAATACCTGACTTGGGGAAAAAAAAGTCCAAATAAATCCAAATTAAAGTCCTCCTGGAGTGGCAGATGCTGCTCTGCTGGAGTAGAGATGATCCGGTAGAGGGGTCCCCAGAAAAAGTTCTCCTCTATGGGGAAATGGCGGCGGCACCGACCAGAGCTCCACGAGGTCCGTGTGACGGGTCCCGCTCCGGCGGCAGCGCAGCTACGCCCCCCCAGGGCAGGGCTGAAGTTCCGGCGGCCGCGGCTTTTGGGGCGGCTCCCCCCTGACTGCCCTTCATTAACCCATGATTACCCACTAACAAAAGCACCTGCCCCTGGAGTTACAAGAAATGAAAATATCTTCCAACCGGTTTCAACAGATGAAAATAGAATTACACATCTTTGGTTACATATTGTAACCCAAGACATGCAGATATACCTGAAGTAGCTGGTTAAAAGCTAATTTGGGAGAGTGTAGAGGCATCGACCCAGCAGCTAACAGTGCCTAAGAGTTCTAGGTTAGCTGGGCCAGTTCATATTGCTTTGTGGCTCTGCTGCTGTTGATGTAAGAGTGGGCTAGCTAGAGTGAGCTTTTGTGCTGGCTTTTACATTTCTTTCATATATCATATGGAATTTAAAAAAATAATTTAAAAATCCCTCTTTTCCACACGTTGAGTTTCATGTTCATTCTCTGCATGCTAGTTCATCTTCGTGCTTACTTTTCCTGAATGACAATGTTGAAACCTTGGCCCCATTGATGTCAATTGCAAAACCCTCTGACTTTAACCACAATTTCACTCTGTAAATCTGAAGGAGAAAGACAGGGCCTGCTTTTTGAGATTTGATTTAATGAAATAAGGTTTTAGTTTCAGCCCACTGCTTTTGTGTGAATTTTTAAATTCTAAAGAAAGCTGCTTTATAGAGTTTGGGTAAATAATGAGGCATATATTGTTTTGTTTCTGTAGCATGGTGGATTTCATACATTTTGGTTAATGAGGAACAAAAAAAGTTTTATATGTTTCTTCTTTTTGCTTCCTGGTAATTTGTTTGACAGCTGTACATAGATGCAGAGCATCGAGTAGATTCACTGTCAGCATATCTTCCATCTTCTCTTATGACAGGCATAAACATGTATGACACATAGCCATACCTTGGTCATTCCCGTTTACTTCAATACTACATTTGTTTTAATTGTTTTAGATCCTTTTCAAATTAACATTTCTGCAGTGCCTCTGTGGTGGATTTCCCCCCTCCCCCAGCCCCGATCACAGCAAAGTGTCCAGAGAGTAAGTCAAATTAGCCTATTAGTGTTCTGTGCAGCTATTACTTCTGTATTTTTTTTCATTAAGACTTTTTTGATTAGATGCATCAAAGGTTTTTCTAAGGTCAAGAAGCACAGTCTATGCCAGCTATTCTTTGTTCAAGGCTGGAGCAGCAGAGCTAAGCATTGTATTTCAACAAGGCCTCTTGAGGAAGATGAGCTGAGAGAAAGCTGAAAGTGAAACTAAGGAAACTAAACTCTTATTTAAAAACAAAACTCTTAAGTGATTCTTTTTATTTATTTATTTTTGTCTGCCAGAACAGTACGTCTGCTTGATCTTAAATACACCTTTATGTGGATGTTAGAAACACTTTCACTGGCAAAGGAACTGAAGTTCCAGTGAAAGACAAAGAAACACACTTTTTTTTGTAACTGTCCCCATAATCTGTATAAGTGTACCATTCACCATGCTGTTTTCCTCTCCAAATTTAAACAACAATATTTTATATGCCTTTGAGAGCCTTCTCGTCACTTTTTAAAGTTGAAATGAAGGTTTCTTTGCTTATTCATCTAGTTGGCATTATGGATTTTATTTTGTTTTTTCTTTTTCATGTTTGTTCTCCTGCCTTCCATATTCTTTTAAAACACTGAATAGTAAATTGTAAACTGGGAATAAGATACATTATGTAGATGTTTCTGACACATTTAAAGGCATCACTCAGAGCAACATGTGACACAGTCAAAGTAATCTCATCAGTTTTGCAGGGTAGAAGAAAATAACTATATACAGGATTACAAATGTGAACTTATTCCCTCCTAGAACAGACTGAGTGCTCTACCCTTGTGCTGTGCCTTGGTCCCTCAGTGATGTCAAAGTGTCAGCAGTCATTAAGAGAAAAGCGGTGTTTGCTTATTCATTGAGAGACTGGTGTCGAATCTGTACTTTACTTGACAGTATTCTTTTCTCCTATAGTAGGAGGATGATTATTTCTCCTGTTCCTTGTTACTACCTTATCTAAAGAAAACTACCTTTATTGTTAGTGTTATCATACTGCATTTTCTGTTGTTTTGTTAAAATAAATAATTAGTAACTACTTTAGTAAAACAGTAGATATTAATAATGTAGCATGCTAAGCAGTAAGCAAGGAAACTTTTTTCCATGTTTGGGAGAAAATGATGATGCGCCTGATATTGTAAAAGCTTATAGGCATAAGCTTTACTAATATAAGCACTTAGATAATTCCTGTCTTGTGCCCCTTGAGGGAGGAGTTGAACAGATCCAACAGAACTATATCGCTATTTCTGTGGCAGAGGTCTACTTTAATGAGCCTTTTTGTAAATATGATTTAGTATTCTCTTTCTTTTTCTAAAAGTAGTCATCATGTAACTGTCTCAATTTCAAGACCAATTTTAGGAAATTGCATGTTCATTTTTATGAGCAAGGAAAGGGACCGTTAAGCATTTTTTTTTCTTTGTAATGAGAGTATCTGTAAATCTTGCTGTGATGTTTACAATGATGATAAATAAATAATGGTCTTTGTGTTTTCATGTATCATACCAACGGATGTGGCAGTTGTGATTCTCATATGGCCTCATGAACTTGCTACCAATATGCAAACCAGTTGTTCTATTTATTGCCTATTTTATTGAATTTGGTTTTGGTTTTGCTTCTTTTTTTTTTTGATGTGATTACTGAAGATCAGACTGACCATTCATTTCAAGTGTTTTGTCTCTAGTATGTCCTGGGGCACAAACATTTCTTCTCACAAGCTATAATGGAGTTTCATCTGTTAAATGTAATTTTTCGTCTTGCTGATCCAACTGGGAAAGTCTGTAGTTTGTTACGTGTATTGAGTCTTCATTTCTCTGAAGTGCTACTGCTTGCTGTTGATTACTGCTCTGTTTTTTTCTTAAGGAATAGTTAATACAGATTCATTTTTTTAACAGTCTGTTGTCTTTCCTATATTTCAGTTTTCCAGTTTGACACTGAATTCTTCGTCAGCGGACTTGCACCTCTCTGCGACCAGCTTGTTATTCTTTCGTATGTGAAGGAGATTTCTGAAAAAACGGTAATTGTTTTGGTTAAGAGTTTTTTTGCAGCACTAAACTGCCCTGTGATTTGGGCCTTAAATTAGTCATGCAGATCTGATTATCTGTGAAAAAATTTGTAGTCCGCTGGTGGTGAACAGTACTTGAAATTTCTCTGCCCTATAAAATAACGTCAGTGGAGGTGATGCTGAAGACTAATCTACTTACCTTTCAGAAGTCTCATCAAGGTTCCTTTATTTGTTTCAGGAAGCAGAGAAGTCCTTCTCTCTCCTCCTTCCTCCCTGTCCCCCCACCCCATTTTTTCTCTTCTTTACTCTCTTTCTTTCTGCTATTTCTGCACCGGAATAAACTAATAATCTTTCTCAGGCATAAGAGGGTCTTGCTGATGCTGCATCTTAGAAGAAATGAGAGTAATAAAGTTGATCAACTCAAGGAATAAGAGCCCGTATCGCAATGGGACACATGATTGCGAGCCAATAGCATAATTATCTCCCAAGACCTTTAGTTGCCTACACCCAGACATGCTTGTAGATCATTAGAAATTAGAATTCTTGTCAGCTGTTTTTCCTGCGTGCGGGCGAGTGCCATGTCTGTCTCCAACATTTATTTCATATTGCCAAAGAAGAGGCGAGGCAGTGGAGGAAATCCTTGAAGTTGCTGCATGAGAATGGCAGATGCTCTTGATCATCTCTTTGATAATATGTCTGCGTTAGACAACCATCACCATAGTAACCTTCAGCAACTGGGTGCACAAGTTGCCAGGCAATGAGACGCTGTAGGTTCAAAGAAATGCTCAAGCCTGCTGAAATCAATAGGGTTAGCTTCTAGCTCTGCTGCAAGATGTCAGATGATTATTTCTTTATTTATATTAAGGCAGAAAATAGTGTCACAGCAGCATTTCCCAAGAGAGTTAGTACAGTAGTCCTCTAGCACGGGAGAGGCGGTGAAAGAAAAGGAGGCAAACAGATGGGATAAGGAAAGGGGAGGAAAAGGTGGGCTGAAATGCTAGAAAGCAAGGAAATTGGGAAGCTGCTGTTAATGAAGAAGTAGCACAGGAAAGGTGCTAGTGTAAAGGAGGTAGTGGCTGATAAAGGTTAAAGTCATTCTAACTGCTCTAGGAAAGAGATGAAAAGAGAATTTCAGGTGATATAATGGTAATAGAACATAGGAAAGACTTTTCTTTTTTCCATGTATTTGCTTTTAATTGGCCTTTTAAACAAACTCCAAATCCTGGACTTGAATAACTTCACAGTCCTTTGGGTAATTCTAGCAAGGAATCACAAAGAAGCAAAAAGTACTTTCCTCTCTGACACCATGTCTGTGCCCTGTGGGAGTGAGACCCCTTCTGTTGGTGTTTTGACTCTGTGGAGGAGGAGCTGCCTGAGCTTGCAGCAGAAGTGCTGCTCACTACAAATGCTGTTGACTTTTGAGGAACATTGCTCTTCCTACATTTGATTTCACAGCTTTCAAATGACAGCTTTCTACTTGTTATAAATTGCATCAGAATTGAACTCATGACTTGCTTTGATTTTTTTTATTTATTATTTTTTCACTTGCACTGGAAAAGTTAAATTGAGAAAAGACCGAAGTGGTGCTTGGCCCAAGTGGACCTTGACTTAATTAAAAATACAGCTAGTTGAAGACAGCAGTTTCCTTTGGATAAAAGATGAAAATCCATGATTTCATCTTACCATAACCACCTACGTTGCAACTGAAAGTTCGTGTTACTCTAAAATAATCAGGGTTTTAGATTATTCCCAGATTAATTTGTTCCCTACATCTGCTGGACACATAAAAGTGCAAACTTAAACTCCAACTAAAAAAAGAAAAATCCAAGTCTATTTTAGCACCAGAATATCATTGATTCATAGAGCTCTGTCCTTTGGGGCCTGAGCCCAGCTGAGAACGTGTCTTAAATCGTTTTGTTGCTTGTTGAATGGAATAGCTGATGATGATCTCTGATAACTTCTGTGACCAAGAGCAGAAAAATAGTGAGCAATCTCAGGGGAAGGTGTTAGACCTGCCTCTTGGCTAAACCTCCTCTGCACTGATCTGTTCAAGGGAAGCGAGCCAAAAGTAGGAACCACTTTCCTTTTGTTTCAGTTGTGATTACAGGTACTCCATGGAGCACAACTTTGCAACTTGTATGGTTTGTAGTTGAGTACCCAGTGCAAAGTACTGGTCCTTTGGGAATGTTTGCAGCTGTTGAATTTCAGCCTTGTGTGTAGGTGACCATCAGTGTACAATGCTAAGATCAATCATGTGGGATGCAACTAAGAAGTTGGTGTTTTTCTAGGAAGCGGAGTGTTGTGCAAGGCCTAGATTGGATATTGTACAACCCCTGCCTGAGTCCTGTGAAGAGATCTCTTCTGATGCACTGACAGTACGAGGATTTCAGGAAAATGAATGCAGAGATTATCATTTAGGTAGGTGTCCTGAATATTGTTTTGTTTTCATAACTTGGCTAAAAAAGATTTGAGTTGGGAAGACTCGGCCTCCTTTTTCATTTATATGTCAAGTTCTTGAATAACTGTCTATAAAATGCTTATGACACTGAAGTGTAAAGTCACAAGAACTAGTCACATGAAAGAAAATTGATGTGCATATTCAACCATAATGATTTGTAATGTCATCTACTAAGTCAGACATACTGAAGAAGGCATGTAATGTCCAGTATCGTGGAAGGCAGTATCTCTGTTGGAGATACATTCAGCATGTGATGTGTAGCAGCTCTTATATCTCTTTGGACACAAAGGGCTTCAGGAATAGTGAAATGAGTGAGCAGTAAAATGTCTGAAAAAGCTGCTGTAGAGACAAAGATGGAATAAATGTCATTTTAACAGTAAGATGCATGTGGATCAACTTAAAACTGATGTTTAGCTTTTCTGTACTGACAAAACTGTTAGCGTGTACCAGATCCCAGAATGATAAAAGGCAGTGAATAGAAACTGGAGTCTGGCAAGTTCAGTCCAGAAGATAGATTTACTTATTCATCAGGCAGGGAGATTAAGCCCTTGCTCAATATATACCAGAGTCTTTTAAATAAGATGAGGTAGTTTTTTTGATACATGTGTTGTAGTTCAGAAAGATGCATGGCAAAGCATTCTTTCTGGCTTTTTAAAAATCCATGAATCTGATTTTTAACCATCTTCTATGGAAGTATGCTTCAAATCATAGGCTTGTGTACATCAATACCCTTAAGCCACTAGAAATATCTTGTCCTGATCTCCAAAACATCTCTGCTGCTATCAACAGAATTGGGATTTCGTTATACCTGTTCCTAAGCAGAACATCGATGTCCACAGCTTCATAAATATTCTAGTTAATTTGACAAGTCTAAATTTTTTTGATGGCTTAGAAACAAGCTTCTTTTTTTTCTTTTGTGAATTGCTTTTCAGTTCTGGGGTGTATTTTTATGTGCATAGATAGAGATAAAGAAGGGGGGATGATTTTCCTGTACCTGCATAGTATTGATACTGTATCTTCACGGGTTCTGTGGAAGTAATAACTATTCTGAGCAGTCATCTTCTGTGTTTGATTTTACCTTTAAGTATGTTTTTACTTCAAGCGTACTCAAAAATAAAGGCTTATGATAAAAGCAAATGCATTATACATATAACCTTAAGTTATAGCATTGCAAATGCATTATTGTAATGATGTGCTGTGTCTCCAGGGGTTATGGCATCTATCATTTATGCTTTTGATGGCCTTAACCTTGATGGGGAGTTTATTGCAGGCTATGCAGTGTAATAGTCCTCTAAAAGTATAATAATTTGTTCTAAACCATCATAAAGTTTACACATAGTGGATGAATCAGAATTTGCAATAAACTGTAGTGATTTTTTTTAAGATATTTTGCCATTTAGGTCAGTTTTAAGTTATTGGAAAATACAGCTTCTCAAACAAGCATGTTCCACAGGAATAGCCTTGCTGTCTTCCTTGCATTTCCTCTTTTTAAATTCCCCTCAAGGGTGTACTAAAAAGCAAGGCTTTATTTAAGGAAAATATTATAATAATAAAACTGTGTATGCATTTGCAGAGTATTCAGAAGGAGAATCACTTTTTTATATCATCAGCCCAAGAGATGTGGTTGTGGCTAAAGAGCGAGACCAAGATGACCACATTGACTGGCTTCTTGAAAAGAAGAAATACGAAGTAATTTTTACAACATTCTTTTCTTCAAGCTTTCCTGGTTTAGATATTGGAGTGAGATGATGCACTTTGTTAGGTCATTTGGTTTGGATGGTTTCTGTTCCTACAGTCATTGATGAAATGCTTGTAAAGGGTAGGAGTTAACTATGCATTTCTCCATCTCTCTGGAGAGTTGGTTTACCTACTGAAACAGCTTGTCTGAACTGCACCCAAGTGAGATAGCTGAATTAGATGCTTTGAATACTGCTCTCAGCAGTAGATATGAAATGTGTTAGCTGTCAGTGAAAATTGTTAAAGCTGGCTTTTGACTTGAAAGGAGCAGAATAGTTAACTAATGAACCACATGGACATTTTCTAGACCTGTATCAACTAAAGAGGGAAGGGAACTGGGCTTCTGGACAATATTAGGTTTTTCCCATTCTATATCACTTCTACTACAGAACAAATAGAGTACTGTGCTTTGCTCGATGTTACGTTCAGTGTTGAAGCTTTTAAAAGTGAGATAGTATGGGCTCGAACTGTAGGTACTGGTGCTGAAATCAGTGTTACTCACAAAAAAAGCAGATCATATTAAAATACAAAGTTGTACAGTTTTGTTTGAAAAAAGTAGCTCAGTATTTAGTTGTGTAAATGTTGGTATATTAAGCATGTATATCTAAATACCTAAGACAATAATAAATTCTTACAGATGTAATCAGCATGTACCCAGTGGTCTGGATTCTGATGTCCTGAGTTGATGACTTAGAACATTTGTTATGATGCATAAAGTAACTTGAGCACCCATTATAAGGAAAAAAAAAAGTGGGAAAGCCATTCAGCGTGTGTTCCTCTTGTTAATGCAGTTATGATATTCCTCATGCAGATTTGTTTAAACCCTTGTGGATACTTCTGCATCTGAATAGCAATTTCATATGATGAATGCAGTTTTGCAGTTTATGTAAATCACAGCATTTAGTCCCTGAAGACTCCAGCAATTTGCAAGTGATAGCTGTGTATATGCCTTTCTGAAAACCATTCAAGGTAGTAGATAGCTTGTGTGTTCTATGTTAAAGGTTTCATTTTGTTTGTAAAAGTGCCAGCTGTGTTTCTCACATTAAAAAAATTTGAAACAACCACAAATGACACTTAAATATAAATCAGTCTGAGTAGAGAAGACTTTTGGGCTGGGCAAGTGAAAGGTAGCCTTCTCCCACTCCCTTCCCTGATGATTTTTTTTCACAGATTTTGGTAGTGAAGGGTTCTTATTTGAAAACGATCCAATGCGATTGCATTGTCTGTTTCACTGTAATCTTGCGATTTGATCCTAATATAGTAATGCAGAGTGAACCCAGATGGAAACAAAAGTAGTTTTCTCTTTGGTTGACTGCTTTTGTTTGAGTATGAATTCAAAGCTGCTCATCCAACCATGGCATTAAAAATTCTAGTGCTTCAAACACCCTGCTCTGAAAAAATAGTTCATTTATGCAGTTATAGAGCCTTCTGTACTGAAAGGTTGTATATTTATCTAGTATCTGTGTTTTCTACTTTTTAAATATAGGAAGCTTTGATGGCGGCTGAGATCAGTCAGAAAACCATCAAAAAGCACAAGATTTTGGTAAGTCTCAAAACTTCTATTCAAAATAAAATATCTGACGACTTTTAGAATGCTGCAAGATGCTACAAATACATTCTTTGTTCTGTATCGCACCAGACAATAGCTGCTAGGCATATTCCAGCTAGCATTCGGTTTCTTGGTTTCAGCTGCCCAACAGGAATGTGAAAGATGAAGATATCTGAATTTTATGAATTTGCTATTGACATTAAAAGGAGGAGAATTCTACTTCTTTGCTGATGGGGTTTCTGTTTGCTTTTACCTTTATATTAAGTTTGTTGTTATTTCAAGTAACACACAGTATGGCAATATTAGAGAATGAGTGAGGAGTGACACATTTCTCTTTCATTTTTATCTTGTACATGTGACAGAGTTTCGACAGGAGCTTAAAAGGTGCAATTGAAGACCTTTTTAAATGCTATTGCCATTCCGTTGCAGTTTCACATCCACATCTAGTGCTCTCATGTTGCTTTGCAATTCTCATTATTTTACATAGTTACTAACTCCTTTTTTTCCTGTGCAGTTATTTCCCGTGTTTGTAGTTCCTTAACAGAACAGCAGAGGATATTGATGTTTAAGATAAAAGGGAGGGATGATGTAATAGCCACAAAATGATCACTAATTTTCTCTTTCTCTTTTTTGTTTAAAATGACCAAAGTGTGAATATTTCATTAATACTGCTGTTGCTTTAAATTGAAGTTTGTACTTAAGTGCAGAGTGTTAGAAGGTGTGTTTAATTTTTAGCCAGATTACTGCTAATAATATGCACACTGTATATCAGTATGTCTTAAAAATTCTTTTCTACTTGTGTAGTCAAAAAGTTGAATCAAGACCTAAATGACATGGCCATAACCTGTCACAGACTTTGTGTGATTTAGGTGGTCTGTGATGCTTTCAAAAAAATGTAAAGAATTCTGTAAGGATGTCCTGACAACACATTAGGAGAAGAGAAAAGAAAAAAAAAAGCTTTTATCTTGATTTGCAAAAATTTGCTCTGCTAGGATGAAATTCGTTGTGGTTGTATGCAAGCAGAGTTGCTGAGTTTTGGGTCTCTAGTGCAAAACCCATGGAATGTGTTGAGAGAAAAAATGCTGATATCAGGCTTTAAGTGAAGGATTAGTGGTGCAAAGAGTTAAAACAACTCCTACTCTCACTGCCCAGCAGTGGTCAGACCAGTGGCACTACATTCCCACCGCATGACAAGTCTGGTGGTCTTGGGGACTTTTTGGGCTGCAGTAATGATCTCTGTGCCTCTGGAGCAGAATGCAAGGGTCTTAAACAACCGCATATCTACAGCTCCTTTCCTTATACTGTCTTCCCTGCTCACTGGGGAGCTGGCTACAAGCCATCTTCTTTCTTGAGAATGGTGAAATTGAAAGTACAAAACCGGTTCCTATAGTAGAATGAAATCCTAAATTCTGATGTATGTACATGCTTTGGTTTTGTGAGTTTTTTTAAACTTTCTAGTAGATGGACCAATTGAAGTTGTTGGATACCCCTGTTCATATTCTGCTCTGCTCAGTACTGGCCTTGATATTGATCAAAAATAATATGTTCTGCCTTAGCAAACCAAAATGGTATTTTTATAGGAAACAAGAACGTTTTTTATTGTACAGCACTCTTTTTTTTTTTCTTTTTTCTTTTTTTTTTTAATGGAAACAATGTGCTTTTAGTGACGTGATTTATAAGTTACACAGCGGGTACACAGGATTGTTTTGACCTTTATGCCAGTGTTGAGATTCCAGCAGAAGGCATGACAGTTTTGCCAATATAGTAATATATATTAAATGCCTACCAGAAAAATTTTACAGCTGGCCTGTGTGATAAACTCTTGAGAAGTGAAATTTAGTATATAATAATAAATAATAATCTTGCTAAGTTCTTGGTAATTATTTTATGGACCAGCACTAGGATTTCTATTCTCAACTAACTTTTTTTTCTGCCCTGCAAACTTTGTGTTGACAAAGAAACTATCTCATACAATGGCTGTTGATTTTCTTTTTGAGATGACTAATGCAAGCCCTAAATTATGAACTATGCATTTTGAACAGTCCTTAATACGTAGAGGTGGCACAGCCTTCTCAGCATCAATTTGATTATAAGAATTATTTAAAAGAGCATCTTAATTTGAACCCATGAGTGGCCTACCAGTAGTTTGTGTTAAGTGTTCTGTGTACTCTACATCTAAAGGAGAACTTGGGGTATCCACTTAGGGCCTGGTGCTTGACTTGGCAGCAGTGCATACAGGTTGAATGATAGTTACTGTGGCAGTCAAGTAGTTGACTTCCAAACTTTTATAGCTAATTATTTTTATTTCATTTAGGACATTGGTTTAGCCTATATAAATCACCTGGTGGAGAAAGGAGAGTATGACCTGGCTGCTCGGTAACTTATTATTGAAGATTTTCTTTGATGGCTGCAGTGTGTCTATGTGGTGGGGAAAAGCAAAGGCAAATGATTGATTCTAAAGTATTTTGTGATGTTGATTTTCTATGTATTCTGGAGTTTCTGAAGTTTCAAAACATACAGATGTATTACTGTGCCTTGTGTTTTCTTACCTGTAGTGACCTAAAAGTAAACTTTCTAAAGTTTAGCTGGAATTGAGACATACATATTTTGGAAAGTCAACCATGATTTTTACAAGCCACACTAGGTTTTCAAAATTGAGATTTTCTTTGGGTGTTGATAATCTCAGTTTATTAGTGTATTATAACATGCAAGACCATCAGAAGATAATTTGTAGTTACATGAGCATAAATGTCAAATATTGGTATCTAAAGTAAGGATCAGAAGTTACCTGAGATCTGTGTTTTCATGTATATGTAAGCATAAGCGTATCTTTTTAAGAGCTTAATTTTTTCTCAGCTGAGATTTTAAAACTTCACTCATAAAGCTAATATGGCCCTAATCAATAAGGGTTAATGCATGGTAAGCAATGAAACCCTCTTGGATGAAACAAAATTGTAAGATCTGAAAGGAAGAGTACCTAGCATACTCTGCTTGAAACGATGGTTGCCACGATAAGTCACCTTTGAGAGTGTATTGAAGAAAAGAAATCTTGCAGTAATGTTGTCAAATTTGTATTATTCTGTATACCTCCTTCTGTTCTCTCCCCTTTCATCGTCCTTCTAGAAAGTGCCAGAAAATTCTTGGCAAAAACACAGAACTCTGGGAATTTGAAGTGTACAAGTTTAAAGAAATAGGTCAGCTTAAGGTAAGTCGATTTCCGTCACTGCATTCAGGTAACATGCTGTTTCCTGCCTGTTTTGGCCAAGTATCTAAAGAATTGCATTTCATGGTGTTGGTGTGGTAGCAGAATATAACACTGCCCTTGAAATTCCTGCCCAGATCTCTAGCTGTACAATTGTCTTTCAGATTGATGTGTATATGTTAACATGCCTTAAAACACAGTTGGAGATATACCACATCCAGGTATTCAGCTACCTATTTTTAACTTGCTGGCAGCCCTCAAGTAAAAGACCCACGCCCAAGGCCTTTACTTGCAAAGATGGTCACAGTTAAATACATCTTTCCAACTTACTTCTCTCTGCCTTCCAATATGTCCTGAAAAATACTATCCTGGCTCTTAAGGAAAATAACTTCTGCGGGTCCCAGCCTTTCCTGAAAATCCAAGTCCCTTGCAACAGAACCACAGCTTTAAGTGTCAAAGAAGAGTTAAATTGCAAAGCAACAGGGGAAGACATGTGCTGTGTGTTAGAAATGGTGGCAAAGAAGAGGAGCAGTTTGCCCTGTCTTGTGTTTTCCCTGGTTGCAAGATAGCTACCCTAACAATACATGTTTAATGTGAGATTCTCAGTTAATATATTGCCCAGGACATAAGGTGATAGTGCTGTCACTGCCAGACCAGTAGAAAACATTGTGCACGCTCCCTTTGGCAACACACATATGTTTATTTCTGAATTTTATGTCTTCCTATTCAAACTCAGTAAGCCTAAAAGGACATATTATTATGATCTCACAGCATGCAGTCCCTTGCTGGTTTTGAGCTGCTTAATTCTGTTCAAAGGGCAAAAGCATTTCAGCTTACGGTTTGCAGAAATGTCTGGCTCTTGTTTTAGAGCCACTCCGGTGCAAGAACAGCCTTGCCTTTTGTATGAGTTCTTAGTGGTTCATTGCACCACTGTGGAAGATAAAATCTCATGATTCTATCTCTTTATTTCAATCCAATAAAGGACCTGAGTGCAGGTACAGGTGAAATTTTGATACACTCCTTCTTAGTCCTTTTGGATTTATTTTGTTTTTTTAAATGCAAGTGTCTGGAATTGATGTTTTTCTTATCTCCACTTATGTCATCCAGCAGACTGTAAAATATAGAAATATTTGCAGGTTTGCTGCAAAAACATCTCTGCTAAATTACTGCCGTTCGAAACAGTTGGTTGTTTTCAACTTTCCCTCAAAAGTGGACTTAGAAAAACATAAGATGCAGTCCATTACATTATTCAGTTTAAAGTAGCAGTTCTAGAAGATGCCTTTCTTGTTTTACTATTTCAGTCACATATAACTTTTCGCAGGTTCCTAAAGGTACCTGAATATCGTAAAGGATGAACTAAGTTAAGCCAGATCTAAATGAAGCAGCTCTTGTAATGCATGGGGTTATTTGTAGGCTATTTTCTGTTTTTACCTATTTACCCAACAAGCAGGTATTAAACTTGGTGGTGTAACTGGGCTATAATGGCATTAAGCCCTGATGAGGAGACTTTTTGAGATTTGGAAACAAAATGTAGTTCAAAATGTAATTTTCTTAATAGAATTTGTACTGCAGGTAAGTCATTGCCTGAAATCTGCTATTTTCAATCTGACAGGATTTGCCAATAACTAAGGTGACAGTAGAACTAAAGGTTTAAACTTTCCTTCCTGCAGAGGGACTACTTAGTGATACCCCAATGTCAAATGCTGTGCGTCAAGCATCTGGTTTGTTTGCTTGTGAGTTTAGGGTTTTTACTGGAGTGTTCTGTACTAAAAGGTCCTGTTTGGCTAACAGAGGCTGCATTTTTGCATATCTTGACATCTCTCCTGCCTTCAGTTAATGTCCTCTAGCAAACCTTGTTATGACAGTTTCAAGATTTTGGAGTCTTGCAATGATCTGCTTCTCTGCTCCTCCTCCAGCAGTGGTGGCTTAAAGGAATAGGGTGTTGTGCTTGAGTCACTTCAGTGTAAAAAACAGTGTCTCAGCTCAAACAGCCAAGAAAGGCGGATTCAAAGTAAGATGCCAAACTCTGTGTGTGCTGGCCATTGTGGCATGAGGGATGTGCTTCATTCTGTTGACTCTTCTGTGACAGCAGTGACTTTCAGCAGGGGTGCAGGTTGATCAGCTATCAGCAGCAGTGCTTTAATGACCAAAACATTGACTAGAGGACGCATGAAAGACTTCACCTGACTGTGGTGGGCATAGCATAGGACAGCCTCTTTCATTTCATAGGTATGCTCTGAGGAGTAAATAATTGTGGTTTGGACTTATTGATGAGATGTCTGAGGCTATTCAGGGATTGGTACAAAGCCATCCTGATTTTGGATCTTTTTTGTCTGACCTTGCTCTTTAAGTAGCTCTTTAAGGATGACTTTGGAACCTCCAGCATAGGTCTTTGTTCACCTTTGTGCCTTGGTCTAAAAATAGGTCGGATGCTTCCCAGTCTTTGCTGAGCATGGGAGCCAAACTGTAGGAGGTTGTGTGCTTTTCCTTCAAAGCAATGGGAGAGATTTCCTTCCCAAGGCAGCCCGGCCCCTATGCTAGGAGGCAGCTGCCCTGCTCCACAGCTTGCAGTGCGGCCAAGCCACAGCCAAGAGTTGCAGCAAAGCCTGTCAGGTGAGGCTGTTCATTTAGAAGGTGACAGGAAAGTAGAATATGGGCATGAAAACAGCTGATAGAGAATGTCCTCTGCCTTCAGTGCTCCAACTGATGTCTAGCTTCAATTCTTTATGGATGAAATAGGCTTTTTTGTAAGGGAATCAGGAATATGATTCCCCAGGGCAGCTGGCAAGTTGGTGCCCTCAGTTAGCTTTTCAATTCTGTGACAGATGGTGGGAGCTGATGCTGGCAGCACACTACATTTCAAACACTGGCCAAGTTCAGACAGCAGAGGAGAGGTCTCCCATGAGCAGTGAACTTCTAATATTTGCAAAGTCATTAACAATGCTGGTTTTATTGGTCTTTTATTTTTACCTGCTTTTTCACCTATGGATGGAAGAGTTTAATGAAATGTGTTACTTAAGCAAATGCGTTGATTTAAAGTCTAGGAAAATTTGTTGTGAATAGTTATGGCTATTTGCAAAACTGAAAAAATAATACGTAGTGATGTTATTTCTCCTGCTTTGTTTAAGCAGCTTCAGTAACAAAATGCTACTGCACCACGTGCCATTCATTAGTGGCCAACAGGCAACATCTCTCAGTGTTTGGAGGAATTTCATCAGTCTTGAGCCTTGATCTACAAACCCTCAAGTCTTGACACAGCTGGTAGCAGTAGGGTTTATTTTGGCAGGTGGTAACAACTTTGGCCTCTAGTTCTATGGAATAATAGTGCTAATAAGATGCTGTGCTGAAATTCCAGGGTATAGGCTGATTCTTTCTGGCAGGTTCTCATCTCCTGCCTGCCAGAATTCAGGTCCTTAACACCTGCTGTAGAGCAAGAGATCACATGCCTTCACCCTTTCTGTGGAGAGATGTATCCTCAATTTAATTTTCATCTGGGTATGTAAAAATGGCTGGCAAAACAGAACTCTTCATAAAATGTAGTCACCTAACAGTAAATCATAAATCAAAAGTACATATTTTTCAGCTAATGACTACTTAAGCCTTTTTTCAACATGTAAGACCGAGACTGGACAAAATGGATTTAGAATACTTTCTTCTTTTGAGGGGTCTTTTGTGGGTTTTATTTTCTAAATGACTAGTAATAAATATTTAGATTCCTTTAAGTGCAATTGCCCACTCTCCCATTCTAACTCGTATCTTACCACCTATCTTCCTAATGAAAATTCTTTCAGATAAATAATGCAATTCCATTGTGTGGAATCCTGAAGTAAATAACTTCAGAGTACTGCTTGCAAATATGAATATACAGCACTTCCAGGGTTTACCAAGAGCTGTGTTATGTGCGTACCTTTAGGGTTTTTTGGTTCACAGCAGGTTTTTGGTTTTGTTTTTTTTAATTTTTCTGTCATCTGTATAACCTCTCTGACACTTTGTCTTTGTTCCTATAGGCAATTAGTCGTTACTTGCCCAGACGAGATCCAGTTTTGAAACCTCTGATCTATGAAATGGTCCTACATGAGTTTTTGGAGAGTGACTATGAGGTACCACAGCCTGATATGTCCAAATGTAATCGTTATTGCCAGCCAAACACCTTCAGCAGTGTAGAATTCTGACAGCAAATCCTCTTTTGTGTAGACACAGATTATCAGTGGACAGTTCCACAGTGAACAGATTTTTTAAATTTTTTTTTTTAAAGAGAATAAGTAGAATGTTCTTCAATGTATGCAGATACTGGGAGGTTGTTTATTTGTTTTAACTACTGTTATTTTTAGTTTGTTTAATGTAGCATAGGTGGTTAAGGTGCTGTGCAAAGCCTACAGCACCTGCAAGAGACTCAGCTTCATGAATCTTAGTAACATTGCCCTAAGAAGAATCTGTGTTCTGCACAGTGCATGTCTGTGGGCATGTAAAAGTGTCTTAGAGGTGAAGCACAGCAGGTATCATCTCAGAGGCTTAGTTGAAGCTTTGATGTTTTTCACGTGTTCCTTAGGCAGTTCTTTCTATTTCTGTTATAATCTCTTATACTTTTAGGGGTTTGCAACCCTGATAAAAGAGTGGCCTGGAGATCTGTACAACAACACTATCATAGTTCAAGCTGTAGTGGATCACCTGAAGAAAGATCCACAGAACAGGACTTTACTACGAACACTTGCAGAATTGTGAGTACATTTTATAAACTCCTGTTACAAAAAGTAAGCTTGAGATAATGTACTGTAGTTTGTAAATATTTGCCTAACTCTCATAACAGAAATATCTGCTTTGCTGCAATTTAGGTTCACTGTGTGGCTGGAAATACGTGATCGGAAAATGTGCTACAACTTACCTGGTTCTAGGCTTCTTTGTACAGAGATTAAAGCTCTTTGATTTTCTCTACCTGATTCCCATGTAAAGTTCTTTTCATCCTGCGCCTTTGAAGAAAGCAGAGTCACTGTCTGTTACTATGTTAGTCTGTCCTAAAATTTTAAGAGAACAGTGTGTTTTAGTTCTGAAGACAGTTCCAATTAGTTTCCAAAAACAGAAAAGCTAGTGTTTTGTGTGTCTTTCCCTGTGGTTTGGAAATGGGAAAATGAAAATGCAGGCAGCCACAGGTCAGAACACAAATACGGTCTCTGATGTGAACAGAGTTGAAATTAATGTTGCACAGTGTATTATTTCTTTTAACAAAAATGAATTATGGCAACTTAAGATATTTATCAAATTGAGTACCATCCTAACAAGCTTTAATTCCTAGAATATATTTGTGGTTTTCCCTCCTAGGTGGTTTTCGTACTTTTAGATATGTAAGATCACATGTATTATAACATTGTTTTTTATCAGGTATACTTATGACCAGCGCTATGGCAGAGCCCTAGAAATTTACCTAACTCTGAGGCACAAAGATGTCTTCCAGTTGATCCACAAGCACAATCTTTTCAGTTCTATCAGAGACAAAATTGTTCTCCTCATGGATTTTGATTCAGAGGTATGGTGATCTTAATGATTTTATATTCACTTTCCACTAGAAATATTTTAACCAAATAAAAATAAATGAGCTGAAGATAGTTTTGAGGCAGAGTGTTTGCTGTGTCTGGATACATTCTGAGGTAGGGAAAATAGTGTTTGCCTAGACTGCAAAGTAGTTGACCCAAGAATGATTTTTTTCATTTGTGTTTCCATTTGAGTATCACTCACAGGAAGAAGAATGCCAGATCCGAGATCATTGTTGTGATACTTAAGCAGGTTTTCACCATTATATTCTTTATGTGTTTCTAACCAAACAATGCTATTAATAAGGCAAAGAAAGGGGTTAATGCATTTATTGTGAGGCCTATGTTAAACGTACTTGATACTTTTGTTGCAGTCAGTTAATCTGCTTCTGAAAGTTCGCATGGTTATTAACCTAAATTCCAAAAATCGAGAAGTGTGCATTTTGTGCGAATTCAACCTTCTTTCTTCCCAGCTGTCTATAAAATCTCAGCAAATGAGCTTTGATATGATCCTTGGGCCAAACCAAGCAGATCTGTCCTTTTTTTGAATGCAGTGATTGTTTAAGCACTGGAGCTAAAATATGGAGCTGTCTGTAGCAAATATAATCATCTTCAATATGCCCATTATAAACTAGGGGGGTAGGTGTTGGAAGAGTAGAATATAATTCTTTTTTTAATAAATAGAGTAAATCGTATCAGAAATCTGTGGGCTTGTATTTTTTGAATGTGAAGCAAAGTTTGCTCTTGTAAGAGAGCCAGAATCCCAGTGGCCGCTCTGCTTTACATGGTCTTGACTGCTTGTGTTATGGTATTGGTGTGCAGGTAATTCGGAGGAATCCAGTTGTAAGGCTGGTTGAAGTCGTGTGTTTCTTATACAGCCATCACCCTACAGTTCCATTTTGCAATGGGAAAAATAGTATTTCTACATCATTTGTCAGTGGCTTTCTGATTTGATGGGCATATTTCACTTGTAATATAAGTGCGTGGTATTGATTGCTGTTAGTGTGGAAACTTAGAAGTATTCTGGAAGAATACACAATATGTTCTCCTGTAAAATGCTGTGCTCTCAGTGAATGCTGATGTTATGCAAACTGCTCTCTGTATTACTACTGCTGAAAAGAGAAGGTCTGCGATATCCACCTGATAACCATCAGTTACAGAATGTTACAAAATGTGTGTACCTATTTCTTAACTGGGTTTTCTTTCTGTACTTTAGAAAGCAGTAGACATGCTTTTGGATAATGAAGATAAAATTTCTGTGAGTATAACAAGTTCATGGCATGGCAGTCCAATGCTTGCTTGTATTGCCTGTCCTTCTTTCAGTCTTAAAAATGTGATGTTTGTCACATGTTTGCTAATCTGTTGGATTTTGTTTTCTTTCAGATCGACAGAGTCATTGAAGAATTGGAAAACAGGCCAGAGCTACAGCACGTGGTAAATATTTCTATATTCTGTTGCTTTCAAGTTGAGCTGAATAAACTCTTTGCTGGGCGTATCTTTCACAGATGCGGTTATCCTGTCAAAGTGCACATGACACTGAAATGTCATAAATCAGCAGAGCCAGAGCAGCTACTTTTGCTAATTCATTTTTTAACGTGGCCATAGTGTTTTTACAATAGTAAAATAATGGTAAAATGTATACCTGTGAGAACTTGGTAGCATACTGCTTACTTGTTAACATGCCATGAGGTGCTCCTTGTGACATTGGAGACACTTTTTTTCACTGGTCAGTTACTTCTTGCTTGTTCCCCCCTCTTCCACTTACACAAAAATGGGGTTGGATAGTATGTCCAACTCTAAAGCATGTTTTACTAATCCACAGAGACAGTGAACTGCTTGTCTTTCTAGAGCTGAAACTTCCACATGCTGCAAGATTATTTGTGGTTGAGCAGAATTAGAATATCACTGTAAGGCTATTGGCTCCACATTGCTATTCCAAAAGCACCTCTTTGGTTTGAACGTGCTGTCAGTGGAATACTGTGGGCTTGGGCTGTATTAGGGAGGGAAGTTTAACTTGCTGCTGTGTTCAGGTGGGGCTCAGGGCGCTGATCCGGTCGAAAGGAGGTTTATGTGTTAGCGATCTCATTACAGGAAGCAGGTCTATGAATTGCGCAGCACACAGTCCAAGAGCTTTACAAAGAATCTGACGGACTGTCAGTTTATGGAAGGGATGCATTAGTTTCAAAGTGTGAAACCCACCTCCTTTTAGTTAAAAGTGACCCTCATGTTTATTCTCAAGGCTTTTCTGTGGTCATCTAAGGCCACAGTACTTGAAGGTACTTTGGTTAAAACAATTTCTGTGGTAGAAAGCTGATCTATAGTAACCTGTAATGGTCAAGCATATCCAGGTAAGTGAAATGTTTCATTTGACATAGTTCATAGAATCATAGAATGGCCTAGGCTCGAAGGGACCTTAGAGATCATTTTAATCCAGCCTCCCTGTCACAGGCAGGGTCTCCTCGCAACTAGGTCAGGCAACACATGGGGACTGAACGGGGATCGAACCCGCGACCTTGGCATTATCAGCACCACGCTCAACCAACTGAGCTAACAGGCCATTCTCCATAAAATTCAAAATCCAGTAATTTCCTTAAAGGGCACTAAGTTTCACTGGAAGCCTTGTTGACTGGGCTGGTTTTGGAGATTGCTGTGATCAGGGTACTTCAGAAAAATACATAGTCATTTGCATCAGGATTTAATCTGTACCTTTTAGTATGTCTTAGCACAATTCTGAGGAAATGGATGACTGTATTGAGTCCACCCTCAGTAAGTTTGCCGACGACAC